TCAGGTCCCCCACCTGTGTTGTCAGCTGGAAACCTTCTCCAAGCAGTAAGTTGGGGAGACTGCTGAACTCTCGGGAGTCAACGTACATTGTGGCCAGACGCCCAGGGTCCTGGAAACCAATGCTCCATGCATTTGGTCTGTTTGTTTTACTTTTAACTGTTTCAGATGGAAGGACAAAGTCAGTCTCTGTTACTGCACCTTCTTGGACAGAAGCAGAAGTCCTCACTGTGGGTACCAGGACACGAGGACTCTGGGGCTGCAGGCTTTGCCCAAGGTGAGGTGGCCCCTAAGTGACCAGAGGGAACTGCAGCCAGATGCCCCACACGGCCCTGGTGTTCTTGTCTCTGCCCTGCAGCTCCAGCACGAGCCACCCTGAGAAAGCAGAGCAGGGCGCAGATACAGGCGGCTTTTGCCACCACTGCAAAAACTGCTCATGGCAGCATCTTTGGAAGCCAGTGCAACGATTATTTTGCATAAAGGTGCCTATTAAAGAGTTTTCTGCATCTCCCAGCCTTGCCTTAAATGCTCCCTCACATCTTTAGAAGGCTTGTTCCTGTGGTGTTTGCTGTCTGTTTGCCAGGAGGAGAGGGTCTGCTGCGGTGGCTGGAGCAGCTTCCCACAATTATCCGTAATCCACAATATGACGGACCGACTGACGCTTACCCCTCCATGAGTATTTTCTGGTCGAATCTAATGACATAATAGGTGCAATTGCTGCAACTCCTGTGTGTGTGTGTGTGTGTGTGTGTACGTATGTGTGATATATGTGTGTGTCTGTGTGTTGATTCGGAGGCAAAGGGAAGGTCCCCTTTTTCTATCATACTGTTCAGCTCACCTTAGATCTAGGAGGTAATCAGCTTAAAGGAGAGTAGTACTTTCCTTAAAATAACTGGGGCAGCTCAGGCCCTGACGCCAACCAGAATCTGTTGGGGAAGGAGAAACCAGAACAACCCCATGTGCCTCCCCATCTCAGTCACATGAGCAGAGAGGAGTTTGGAGCCCAGTTCTCTCCCAAGTCCTTGCCTCTACCTGCTGACCCCAGAAATGCTTTGCTGAGAAATGAGTCTGAAAGCAGCAGCACTTTCATCCCTACCAGCTGCTTGTCACATGCAGTTTCATTTGCGGCTTGCCCCCCATGGCCGGGGGTCAGTCATCACCACCCTGGCCCAATCTCCCGCTCCTGGCTGTAAACTGAGCCTGGGATATTCACAACGCCCTCCCTCAACCCCCAGGGTTGGTTGTTAAATAATGAACATGATGCCTCTGGCACAGGCTGGGAAATTGAATCTAAACTTTCTTCCCACACTCAGATCCCATGCGCTTCCTTATTCAGAAGGTCCCTGACTTCCTATGGTTTGATTTGAGATTTTTTTGCTTTTCAATGTGCAAAAGTTATATGTACTCAGTAGAAATCATACTTGGACCACTCGGTCACGAGGGGAAACAGCCAGTACTCTACAGACCGTTTTTCACACTCAGAGTAGTTTTCTATAAATGGCAGGAGCTACTCAGCCCCTTATTATGAGGAGTTTTAAAAATCCCAATAGCCAGGCCGTGCCCACCCCCTTTTCCCTACCAGATCAATTAAATCAGAATCTCTGGGGTGGGGCCCAGACATTAGGATTTTTTATCACTCCCAGGAACTTCTAATACTCAGCCAAGGGTGAGAAACAGTGATCTTGTCCAAGAGACAAGAACAGTCTCAAGTGACCTTCCCCATCTGTGACCTCGGCACTTCCCACCGGCTCCAGGAGGCGCAGCGGTGAGGATGCAGGACCAAGACGAGGGACTGGAAGTGAAGCTACATTTAAGGAGAAGGGGTGCGCTCCTGGGTCACGTGCCCTTCACTCCAAGCCCGTGAGGTTGAGTGCCTCCCGGCTCACCCCCACAGCCCAGCTAAGCCCGCCCCGGGCACGCACTCCCACCCCTGTAATTGAAGGTTCCAAAGAGAAAAGCAGTCCCAGGGCTCCCACCCTGCTGCCAACTCGGGAAAGCACCTTCCCCTTGAACAAGCCCTCTGCTTCCTTACTCAGGGTCAGACTCCAGCCCCCTGCCCAGCGCCTAGCAACTGATAGGCTACCTGACTGAGAAGGTGAAGGAGACACAAGGTGACCCTTGCTGCCAGCCAGCCTCTGCCCCACTCCCTGGAGGTGGCCCCTGCCCAGGTGACAGTTCCAAGATTCAGAGGAGAGACAAGGCTGACAAAGACAAACGTGAACTTTCCCCAGGTGTGCAGCTGGGCGAGGGAAGGCCTGGAGGTGTTCTCATGCCCTGAGCCTGCTGGGGGCCTCAGCTGTGCCCACAAGGGGGTTGTTCATAACAAAGATCCATGGGGGCTGGGGTGGAGGCTGGAAGGTGAAGTGTGGTTCCCCGCCTCACCCTAGAAAACATCATGTGTCTGGCCCCACTGGCCTCTAAGCCAGCACCTCTTCTTAGTGGCTCTTAAATTTGAGTGAACTCACCAATGACCTAGAAATTTCCTGCATATTCTGCCGTGGTGGGTCTGTGTTGTAAACCAGTGCCCCCAGGTGTCTCTGATCCTGGGAGACATACTGTGAGACCCACTTCCTTGGGCCTCGGTGCCAGCACCTTGGTATTGTGCTCCCCACTCATCCCCCACCCCCAGCACATACTCAGCCCTCCCTCCAGAGAGGGGAGAGGAGCTAGTGAGCTCACGCACCCCAAAGGAGTTGGCGGGAGGGCACTCAAAGGAGATCAAGACCCACGGCCTTCACTAGCTCCTCCCACCCAAGACAGCTTCAATGTCCACAGGGGCCAGGCAGGGCAGTGCTGAGGGAAGAGGACAGGCTTGATGCCAGAGAGTGGTGGGGACTGCAGCCAAAGCTGGGGGCCTGGGGTGGGTGCCCATCTGAGGAGGGAGGGGAGCAGCCACTTCTCATGTACACCCACCCTCAGCTACTGCTATGGAGGAATGCATTTATGAGGTCTTCTGATTTGTTGAGAAAACAGAAATCAAATTTTTATGGGCAGCTTTCAATTCTGAAACTGCAGGGACCAAAGCAATAACATCTGAAGGGCCTAATCCTATCTGCGGGCCGTTTACAATTGTTCTAGATGGTGCTCTTCCAGCCCACGGCCGGGCCCACCAGCAGGTTCCCAGTCAATGTTGCTACCTGAGCAACAATTGAAGACATGTGATGGCTAGGAAAGAGGACAATCTGCCCTGCCACATCTAAGCTCGGCCTCTCGTCAATGAGACAGGGCCTGTCCCACAGCACCAGCCCCACACGCTCTGGAGTGGCTGTGGACCAATTCCAACCTCATCTCATGTTCCCTGCTTGTCCTCCAAGTGGCAGATCTCTCTGGGATCTCTGGCTTTATCCACTTCTTCCTGAAGCCCCAGCCTCTCCTGCTTCCCTCCAGGCCCTATTCATTGGGTGCCCCGCCTCAACGCCCCGCCTCCCCCCCCCCCCCCCCCCCCCCCCCCCCCCCCCCCGTGGAGGGGTGTCCTCACTTGAGGCCACTCCTCAAAACTTTTGCTCAGACCACCCTGCTCAAGCCCAGGCCCAGCTCCACTGAGCCCCTCCTAGGCCATCTGCATTTGAAAGTGATACAGTAGCTCTAACAATAGCTCATTACTAGGGATGGTCATTTTATTCCAACTTGATTTAAGGAATTGTTTTGTATGGGGGCTAAAGGTCAGCCTTTTCCTCAGAAGAATCTCCCTTCTTATGAGTCAGCAACCCGAGATGTGTTAAGAAATGTCTCTATCTCAGACCTCTGTGTCCTATAATTCTGGCACAGAATGTGACTCTGTGAGATTTGATGAAAGAAGACATCTCTTCCCTTTGACAGATTTTATAACAAGCCCCAAAGTCAGCATCAGTAGCTATGCAGGAGGACGTGCATAGGGGCAGAGGATGTGCTCCCCTTCACCAGACTTGAGGTCTCCTCAGACAGGCACGGGGTGGACCTGACAGCTTGGGTGAGTCGGGTGACATGACTCTGGCAAACGGAAAGGTGGTGGCAGACACTGTTAATGCCTACCCTAAGCTACTTCCCCCTCTTCCTCACTACAGACTCTGGTTTTGTTCTAGCCCCAGAAGGTGAATCATGACTGGGTTAGAGCCAACACAGTTATCTGGTTTGCTTTCCCCACATTCTCACTTGCCCCATTTCTTGGCATCAGGATACAATTATAGCCAATGAAATCCAAGATAAATCTGCTAAAAGGCTTCTTGCTTCCTGATAAGAGACAGACACTTAATGAAAGAAACGATCCCTTCCTCCTCCTTATTGTCCTGAATGCAGTTGCATGAGGGCATGATGGCTGGAGCTGTGGCAGTGATCTTGCAACCAATGGGTAATAAACTTAAGAAAATCAAGCACATGAGGATGGCAGATAAGAAAGGGCAAAAGAACCTAGGTCCTTGTTGACATTTGAAGATGTTTAACTCTGGCTATTTGGGTCTTCAGCATATCCCATCTGACACGAAGGGCAGAAACAGAGAGACATAGGCTGCAGGTCTTTCGTCACATGAACGACCTGATAAGAAGGGGCAGGCCAGACAATGAATGGAGGATAGCAGGAGGCAAAGCACAGTGGCCTCACCAGGCCAAGGAATGGCTTCTCAGCATTTTCCGCACTACCTGGTCGACCAACAGATGTCTGAACCCGCTACTCTGGCCCACTGCTTTGATGGCCTTCCAGAGCTAGAACAAAAAGAAATGTTGCTCTTCACTGTCACAGATACAGGGACTGGGGTTTTGACATGCTAGGATCCTAGACAGAAGCAAGAAGCTAACCTGCTAGGCAGTGAGATTCCGTCACTTCAGTCCACTACTAAAAAACATCTATATTCATTGCAAATATAGTCCATGTGTTAATCAATAGGGCAGGCTTGGAAGTTCTTATATTCTTTTCTGATAGTAAGTTACTGTAAACTTTTTATATTAGAATGACCTATTAAAGTCAGGAAGTAAGCTCAAAATCCACATGAATTAAAGATCAGACACCAGGCTTCAGATACATTTCTCACTTGTGGCAGGCTGGAGTGGTGTTCACACTCTGTTGTCAGGAGTGCTCTGGGGGAGAAGTTGGAGGCTCATAGCAGCCTTGATCCAGTTTATCAGCAGGGAGGGTTTCTCTTCAGATCATCCAAGGGGCAGATCAGAAGGGGTACCTCGAGATCTATTAAGACAAGGAGGGCCGAAGTCAGAAAAAAGTCATGCATATCTGTTCAGGATTTATGGGCAGAGGGAAATCTGGGTTCAGGGATAGAACTGAGTCCTGAAATCCAGAACCATGTAGAACCAGGCTGTGGGACAAGCAAATAAAAGGAGCACGCATCCCTGAAATAAGAGCTGTTTTGCCATCGAGTTTCTTCATGCCCACCTGCAGCAGGTGAATCACAGTGGGAGGGCGCTGCAGCTGGTCCCGGGCATGTGGCAGGAGTGTGGCTGCAGCCAGGGTTCTCACGGTGACTCATGCAGGAGTAACGACCACAACAGTTTTCACTTGAGAGCTTGCCATGTGCCACACACCGAGCTTGCCATGTGCTAATGTCCTATAATTATCCCACTTAACAGATGAAGAACTGAGGCCAAGTGAGGTTAAGTCAGTTTCCCAAGGTCTCACTGCTGATAAATGGTCCAGGGTTTCAGAGTCCAAGCTCCGAATCAGCTTCTGGAATCTCAATCTGCCCACATTCACCTCTGCTCCTCCTCTCTGCTAACTCTTCCCACCCACCATCCTGCCCTTTGCTCCCACCATGTGGTGCCCGGAACAGTGTGGCCGGTGCCCAGTCTTTCGTCACTGCCATGCCATGACCTGATGATGGCCCAATGTTGCCTTTTCTCCCCCAGGAGCACTGTCAGCTCTCCAGGGACCGTAGCCACTAGCCACGCTTTTAGCTGCAAATAAATGAATATCCGACTGAAAGTGGCTCCTCTAATAAGGGCCTTTATATCCTACAACAAGCAGCTGGAGGCAGGGGACTTCCAGGCGATGTTAACTAAGCGGCTCAACAAACTCAGGGCCTTGGGTCAGCTTCCCTGGCATTTTCTTGGCTTTGCCCAGTGTGTTCCAAAGAGGCCTGCAGTGGAGATGAACAGCCCAGGTTCACACAGCGACAGCCAGAGACAGGAAGGGGCCCTTGTCTTAGGAGCCATGAACACATTCCCAGGTGCTCCCTGTGAGGTTGTGATTTATAGTAATAAATAGATATTTGGTCTTTGTCCCTGCTCCTGGCACAGAGCTCATAAAACCCTTGGAATTTCCTGAGTGATAAGAGCCATAAAGGTGAAAGGAGAGTATTTTGTCATTGATAACAAGGCCTTTTCAAGCGCACCTGAGTTCATGTTAATGAGGTGCTTTTTGGGAAGCCCCTAGATAACCAAGCCTGGGATGAGGGCTGGTTGCCAGGGGAGGCAAACATGTGATTAGAGGGTAGAAAACTCACCCCCACTTCCCCAGCCCAGGGAAAGGAGGGGCTGAAGGTTGAGTTCCATCACCAACAGCCAGTGATTTCATCAATCATGACAATGCGATGAGGCTTCCATAAAAAAGAAAAATGTGCTATAAACCCTAACCAAAGGGGTTCAGAAATCCTTCGGGTTGATGCTAGGAGGGTGGCACCTCAGAGGGGGCCCCTTCTTCCCATCTTGCCCCTTGCATCTCCTCCACCTGGCTGCTCCTGACCTATCTCCTCTAAAATAAACTGGTGATCTAGTAAGTAAACTTTTCCCGAGTCCTGTGAGCCCTTCTAGCAAACTCATTGACCCCAAAGAGGGGGTCATGGGAACTTATCATTTATAGCTAGTAGGTCGAAAATAATCTGGAGTCGCCGTTGGTGCCTGAAGTCGGGTGGGGGTGGGGCGGGCTCATGGGGCCGAGTTCTTAATCTGTAGAGTCTGAGGCGAACTCCAAGCAGACACAGAACTGAATTGTACGACACCTGCCTGGTGTCAGGAACCCCCACGCCCTTGTGTCCAGAAGCTAACTCTTCAGAGCAGCATTGAGAAGAGAAACAGATTTTCCCTCCTGCCCCCTGGGCATGCTTATCTGGCTGGCCAGTGTTGCACCACAGACCCAGTCCTAAGGCAAGCACTAGTCAGAGCCTGAAGGGCCATGACCGTTTTGGCTGGCCCTGAGCGAACACTACAGTGGGGGGTGGGCCCAAGCCCTGAGAGTGTCTGATTTAGTTGGCCTGCAGTACCCCTCGTATTCACAACCTTCTCGCAAGCCATCAGGGGTGGAACACGAAATTTGGATTAGTTAACATGTGGCTTTTGGAACTGGGAAGGGGGTCAGTGAAGTACTGTTGGCCAATCCCCAAACAAAATTTGATTCTGTCTGCAAGAAAGGATTGCTAGCGAGTGGACAACCCCAGGATGGGACTCAGGGGCCCCACTGCTAGGCACATGATGGGTGGTGAGCACTGCTGGTAACGAGAGGCACCCGTCCCCCACAAAGATGGTTTGTAACATCCTCCCGCCCCACCCACAGCTATGTCAACTACCTTATGATATTGTCAACCTTGAAAATGTGTTTCCTTTAACATGGGTATATTTGTCCATGTATATCCCTATTTTATATGTAGTATATGTATAGAGAGAGAGAAAGAGATGTTAGCTGGGAGCAGTGTCAATCCTAAAAATAGTATCAATAATTTTAACCATTGTTTCTTTTGGCTATTTGACCTGGGCCTGCCAGCTCCTGTGATCAAGCAGAGGTTCTGACGTGGACATGATTATCATGTGGGAAGACACTATTTGGCATAAGGATTAAGAATGCAGGCTCTGGGGCCTCCCTGATGGCGCAAGGAGTTAAGACGCAGCCTATGATGCTTTCTGCAGCCACTGCAGCATGAGTTCAATCCCCGGCCAGGGAGCTACCCACATGGTGCAGCAGACCTCTCCTGACTCACCCGCTGCTCCCCTCACCAGTATGTTTCAGTCAATCTGCCTGTTCTGTTTCCCACTCTGTCTCTGGTGAATCCTCTCACCACCACCCCCACATACCTCTGGCCTGTACCCCAGCTCTTATATGCATAAAATAGATAAATCTTTAAAAAAAAAAAAAAAGAATGCAGGTTCTGGAGTTATGTCTTAGGGCTATGATTCAGGTAGAGCTGTTCTGTGATTTAAGCAGATCCTTAATTCCAATAAGCCTCAGTTTCTCCATCTGTAAAATGGGGATCATATTAAGTTCTGATTTTGGTGTTCTAGCCGACCCTGAGTTCCAATCCTAACTCATGCAGCTTTAGAAAATTCCCTTTCCTTCTTTGGGCCTATATTTGTTTATCTGAGAAATGGAATAAAAAAGGCAACCCTATCAGGATGTTGGGAGGTTACACAACATGGGTATGATGATGGGATGATGAGGATACATAGACAGTTCATACCAGAGTCCTCACTCAATAGAGTGCCCACAGAGCAATGTCTAGTGAGTATACTTTTTTGGATCCTTGAATCCAAAAAATTCAAGGATCTTGATATGACAGCAGCCTTCGGATGTCTGAGGGACTGTGATCTGGAAGAAGTCTTAGACTAGCTTGGTGTGACCCCTGAGCCAGAAGCATCGCCACAGGGTGGGCAATCTCAGAGAAGGGGATGTAGCTATAAGAAAGATCCACCCCCCACACCAGGAACACCTCACAGCTAGTGACCCTGGACACCCAGATACTTCCAGGAAGAGGACAGCTGAGCCAAATTCCCACCAGCTCTGAGTACTGCATGCACGAATCCAACCAAATCCCAAAATGTTCAGGAGCATCTCTTTAACACTCTTCCAACTTCAACATGCATAACAATCACCTCAGGGCAAGTCCCAAAAGCTTACACCAGACCCCACTCCTAGAGATTCAGATTCAGTGGTTCTGGGGTGAGGTCTGCATTTTCAGCAGGATGGTACAGACTCAGCATGGTCCCAGGATGCAACTTGAGGACACCTGGCCAATAGGCCCACCTGCTGCGGCTTCAGGAGCCACTGTCAGAACTGAGCCTCAGTTAGGGACACTGCATACAAAGAACCACTTTGAGATGGGCCCAAGGAATCGACCCCACCCTGGAAGGTGCCCAGAAAGGGAACAAAGCAGGTGCTAATGAATTCCGGTCCTAAATCAGAAGGTGTGGTGCACCAGCACCTGGGAAGGAGAGAAATTATTCAATGTGATTGCTAGGTGGGAGATGAGACAGCATATCAGGGTGCTCCAACAGGCACCCACACAGCCAGCCCTGGGTGGGAAACCTGGGGAGATGATGAACAAGTGGAAGGCAAGAGTGGCAGGAGCCAACTATGGGGGGGTCACCATTCATGCTGAAGTCTGTGAATGGCAACCCCAAGAGGTGCTCACTGCAGGGATCCCTAAAAATGAGGCTACAGATGTATAGTCCAAACCCCTTTGCACAGCACTCAAACCTCCTCCCAACCCCGCATGCTATTGGTGCCTTTTTCCCTAAGTGGCACTTCCTGGAGCTGCTTTATTTGCAACAACCAGAATTCCATAGGCAAACTTCATTCCCACAGTACTGGGCTCCAGCCACGTGGCTTTCACCAGTCCAAACTCACCTGGCTCTTGTTCAATTCACCTGCCACAGCCCTGCCCCTATACCTTGGAGAATCCCGCTCAGCGTTCAGGTTCCAGCGTGTCTCTTCCTGCTTTCCCAGTGCCCTGGGCACATAGCAGCCTGGCACACTGCCATCAGTCCCAGCCTATGGGCACCCCCAGCACTGTGCTGTATTCCAGAATGGAACTGAGCATGACCAAATAGCCTCACGAGGGCAGGGGTCTTTGTTTTGCTCACTGGTATATCCCAAGCACCAGGGACAGTGCCCAGCATACACAGGAGGTGCTATGCAAACATTGAATGAATGAATTTTGCAGAACAGATGTTGCCAACCACTTCAACCAGGTGAACCAGCAAATCTTCCTAGGATCCATGTTCTCAACAAGGGGAGCAGACTCTTGGGAACCCCTCTTGGCTATGCAAAGGTGAAGCAAACAGACATTCATCACCCAGAACCTTCAGTGCCCTACAAAGACCACCACTCCCAGTCTCCTTGGTACTCAGAAGCAATTACTGAAGGAGCAAGGGGGTAAACTTGCAAAGGATCCACAATGTCTCCTGCTCAAGCCCCATACAAAAAAGGATGTGCTGAGAAGGGGGCTGATGCTGAGATCACGGTGCCACAGCCTCCAAAGGGAGGGGGCACACGCCTGCCCTGAGCTAGTCCTGATCATGGCCCTGAAGTCTTAGGGAAGCAGAACCAGTGGGAACCAGAGTTGACTTCCTCTTAGGACCCTGCTCCACAGGCACTGAGGGAGCAAGAACAGGCAGCCTTGCAAGCTGCTTGAGAACCAGGCCACAGCATCCCTGCACTGCAGCAGCTGGAGAGAGGCATAGGACTACACAGTCTGGGGCAGCCTCAGAGCCCAGCAGGGGGGTCCACGAGTGTAGAGGTTCCGCCCTCTCCAGACACCTCACTGCGCACTTCTATGCAGGGCTGGGCCCAGTGGAGTGAGTAAGCACCATGGATTCTTGGGTAATTTAGGAGTGAAGAGGTCTTGCTAGGGAGATGCCAGCAAATAGATTTTTTTTTTTGCATGATTAATTGGAAAAATAAGAGCTATGATATCATTTTGGCAAGCTGATAATTTAACACCCATTCAAGCCATTGTTTTTAATTATTTACACAACACGTATTTAGCAAGGATGAGGAGAAACTGATTTTCTCTTATGAAACTTGAAACCTTTCTTTAGGTTCAAAATAATGGATTTATTGCAAGCGTTTATTATAGGCAATTTTCCAAACCTGACAGCTTCCTAGGAAGCATAGACACCATTTAAAATTTAGGTACTAAAATAAATCATTTGTGCCTGGTAAACAGTTCTGCGCTGGCATTAATCAGTTTCACGGTCACAACTGACTGGGGTGGTGACTTGGTGACTTGCAGAGCGAGGGCTCCAGGTGGGTGGCACAGCTTGCTGCTCTATCATGTAACCAGCTCATCATCATTAAAAAAAAAAAAAAAAAAAAAGAACAACTATAGAAGTAGGTCAGAAGCAGTTAGGAAGGGTTTTGTTTTGCTTTTTAATTTCTACTTGAGTATACTTCTTCAGTCTTAGCCAAACCAATTTCTTTAGGCCAGTGGTGAGCAAACTTTTTCTCTAAAGGACCAGATAGTGAGTATTTTAGGCCTTGCCAGCCACAAAGCAAAAGTGAGCAACTGTCCCAGCTAAAGGGCTATGTGGTCTTTTTTTTTTTAACATTTTACATTTAGAAATGTGAGAACTATTCTTAGCACTCAGGCGGCACCAGACCAGGTGGTGGGCGGGATCTGGTGTGTGGACTATCATTTGCCAACTCCTGATTTAAATCATTTATTGAGGGATATGGAAACCCACTTTCCCAGGGCCCAGATGCACGACCTATTACAGTGAGGTTTGGTCCTTTATTAGGTCAATTTCATAGGTAATGACCCCTTAAAACAATTCTGAGTAAGATACTACCCCAGGTTTGCAGAACCTTTTACAACTCCTTCCCCATCTTAATAAATGCTGCCATTACCACCGAGCCAAAAACACAAGTGTCTTAACTCTATTCCTGCCTTTCCTTCTCACTATTAGCCAAAAGGTGGAAACCACCCAAATGCCATCAACAGATGAGCAAATGAACAAAATGTCGCCAATCCATACCACGGAATGTTATTTGACCCAAAAAAAAGGAGCGCAGTTCTGCAACCTGCTGTAACAAACTCTGAAGATACGACACTCAGTGAACTAAGCCAGACACAAAGTGAAAGCACTGTGTGATCCTGCCCACATGTACTACCTAGCATCGTCAAAGTCATAGAGGCAGGAAGTACAAGACACTATCAGGGTCTGGGAGGTAGGGGTGGGGAGTTAGTACCTAATGGACCCAGCATTTCTATGGATAAAGAAGAATCGGGAAATGGAAGGTGTGGTGGCAATGTGATGTAATGCGTGCGCTCAGTGCCGCTGGACTGTACACTTAAAAATGGCTACAGTGGGCCTCCCCTGGTGGCACAGGCGGTTGAACACAGTGCTGTGAAGCTGTCTGCAGCCTCTGCAGTGCCAGTTCGATCCCGGCCGGCGCGTGAGGGTCCCACATGGCATGGCGGACCTCTCCTGCCTCGCCTGCTGCTCCCCTCAGCAGTGTGTTTCAGTGAGTCTGCCTGTTCTGCTCCCCACTCTGTCTCCGGTGAATCCTCTCACCCTCCTGCGCATCTGGCCTGTACCCCGGTTCTTGATAAATAAATAAATCTTTTTAAAAAATGGCTACAGTGATCAATTTTATGTTATGTATATTTTATCGAAACCTAAAAATATTAAAGGCACCAAAAAAAAATTTTTTACCCCACCTCCCAGTGCCATCCCCCCTAATCCAAGTGACCATGATTTCTGGCCTCTTATTAGCCTCCTGGTGCCCCCCCAGGTCCCTATATTGCATTCCCCACAGATGCACAGACATTAGGTGACCTCTTCCTACTTACACCCTTAAGCCCCCATGATTTTACTCAAAGCACTGAGCACTATGAGAAGTAGCCACACTTGTTCAGGCATTGACTGTGTTACTGGGTCTCCCTACTCCACCCACCCCCCATTAGTTTAGATCCCGTGAGGGGAAGCAAGTCAGGGCCCCTGCCTGTTCCATTCACTGCTGCATCTCAAGTCCCTAAAAGAGTGACCAGCCCAAGACAGGGGCTCAGTTAGTCACCGCTGACCGACCAACGCACTTACAAGTACTTGTCACAGCCCATGTCCGGTTAGTCTGGCCCGCTACCCTGTGATGTAATCAGAATAAAAATATGGGAAACCTCTTTGCCAGGGAGCACACGGAAATCCAGAGAGGTGAAGGGGTTCACAGCTAGTCATTGGCGGGTTCTCCCCCGAGCAACCAAGGCGTGGCCACAGCCACTCCACTGCCAGCGCCTACCCTTCCCCGGCTGCGTGGCTTGAGCAAGCCCTCAGGCTCTCGTCTTTGAGAACAGGACTGACGGCCCTGCCCTCATTAGATTACTAGGAGAATTAAAGGAGATGGCACATAGATAGTGCTTGGCACAATGCCTGGCACGAAGCACTAAAAACATAGTTACTGACATTGTTCATTCATCTGAGGTTAGTTTAAACGGTACACTCAGTGATAATGACTGCCAGAGCTAGGGCTGGTTCTCGGGCTCTGACCTCGGACCCAGCACATCAGCTAAAAGCTCCAGTGCCCCTAGGCCCTGTTGGCACTCTCCAAACACACCCTACCCTCGATGGTGAGCCCAGGACAGACTGGAGCTGGCACCATTGTGGGGGATGAGAAGTGCCCCATGTGGGTTCTGTGGGCCTCGCTGCCTGCCTTCAGGTCCAGCCCTCCTACTGGGCCCCCAAAACCAGCTCAGCAGCAAGGGTCAGGCCCTGAGTTGCTGTCCAGTTCAGGGGACCCTCTTCACAGACGCCCCTCAACCTCCCTGCCTGTGGTCTGGATGACAGCAGGGATGTTTGCTTTGACCTGGGCTACCTCGTCACTCAAGCTCCCAGCACACAGTCAAAATGCAGTAGAAGACAGGTCCCCATGCTGCATGGGAGCCTGCTCCTCTGTCTGCACAGGGCCAGGGCACGGGCAGGGGGAAGGGGAGGGGCAGGGAGGTGGCTCTCTGAACTCACAGATCTAAGATGGGCACAGCTGAGCGCAGCGGGGGCCCACTCTTAATGGAGCCCAACTTAGCTCTGGCTGCTCTGCGGCCTTGGGGTCCTCTCCCCTCTCTGCCCCTTGTCTCCCAGAATATCCACATCCCTCATCCTCCCCATTTGCCCCACCTTAGTGAACATTCCCAAGCCTTCCCCTCTGCTCCCTCCATCCCCACATATTCTGCCACTCTAGGCAGGATGACCAGCCCCTCTTCACCATGGGGTGGGGGAGAGCATGAGTTTGGGCCAACTGCGGAGCCTTGGGAAAGTTGCACAAACCCTAGAAGCCAGGTAGTCAGCATCAGAACCTCTGTGCTGGAAACAAAGAGAGGCCACTCATCCCAGAAGAGCAGGGCCTTCCTTGCTGAGCCTGCGCCCTGAGCTGGCTCTGTTCTCATGCTCCGCCTTCCTTGGGCACCCCCGTGAGACAAGTCCTCTAATAGTCTCCAGAGTGCAGAATCAGGACAAACAAGACAGAAGGTCCCACCCGACATCACATAGTTCAGTAAGGGTACGGCCAGGTGTGGATCCAGGTACTCCACTCCAGCCCCACGATTCCTCCCAGTGGCTCCAGCAGACCCCGCTGGGGTGTGCACGCCATGATCCACCTCATTGCCACCCCTGGCAGGGATTAGGGGCACAAAGGGGCTGGGCCCGGAGTTCTTTGATCAGCCCTGCCAGATGTAGCATCTGCCACCCCAAAGGTCAGATGGGCCTCACTTATGAGGTCCCGCCAATGGACATGGGAACCACTAATGAGAGCATCATGACAGACGAAGACCAGCGTGCCAGTTTCCGGGGACATGGTGCCCTCTCCAGCTCTCACGCAGGGGCATAAGAAGGGCCCTGGGAGAGGCAGTGGGCCCCTGCTGGGAACAGGTGTCCTGGCTCCCGCCTCCCCTCCCTCCCACTCCTTGGAAAGTTTCATCCTGGCCCTTTCCTTCCTCTGTCCCTCCTCAAGGTCAATGACCTGACTCTAGAGATCCCTGCCCCCCAGAGCAGGGGAGGACTGAAGAAGCAGGTCCAGCATGCCCACCCTCTCCGTTCCACATGCCTGTTTGACAGATGAAGTTACTGAGCCCCGAGCAGCAGAGACCCACAGACTCACAGAACGCAGCTCTTCCTTGGACTTTAAATCATCTTGCCAAGAGGATCTCAACAGTGTAGTACTATCCCCTGGGACAGTTCGAAAAGAGTGGGGTAGTTGGGCACTCGCATCCCTAGGGGCACTGTGGCACTTAATAGGCAGGGCTCAGGAACGCTAGATGCCCTGCGTCGCTTTAGAAGAGTTCTGCATCGTGAAAACTTGGCCACCACCACCATCAGTTTCTATAAATGAGGAGCCAAGTTTGATGGGGTCAAGGTCCCTGTGGCAGACGTCTGCCAGTTGCCATCCAATTTCCCTCTCCATTGTCTCCATAGAAAAAGAACCCTGCAGTATCCAAGCACCAATGAACTCAGAGATTCTGTTTCCCCACTTCCAGGGGCCTCTGTGAACTGTCTGCAAGGTCGGTCCACGAGACTAAGCTGGTGTCTGTGCCAGGCTGCTGGGAAGTCCCGAGGGCAGGGTGTGCCTCTTTCCTGCCCTTCCCTCTCTCGCTGCCGCTGCAGGGGGCACAGGCAGCATCAAGCAGCACCTTGGGCCTGGAGAGATGCCCTAAGTTCAGCAGAGCTGCAAGACGAGAGGCCCTGGGCCCTGGCAAAGGTGCAGTCACCACCCAGCCCTGTATGACCTGCCTTCAGAGGCCTATGTGTGAAAGAAATCGGCTCTTATAAAAGCTGCTGCTGTTTGGGCGATTTCTCGAGTATCTGCAACTAAACTGTCATGTAACTGGCGCAGATGAATATTCATCAGACATTTTTTGAGCATCTACATGTGTCAACCAGCATATTGGGACATTCAGAGGCATTATCTTAGGATATAATCTTAGGAGGTGGCAGTTTTTTTAATCCCATGTTGCAGATAAACTGTGAAGAAACCAAAACCAAAAAGAGGAAGTGACTTCCTTATCCATGGCAAGAAATGGGCAATTGACAGACAGAGCCAGGGCTGAAACCAGACCTCTTGACTGGTTGACTATGGCTGCTCCTGTTTGGGGCATGAGAGAAAAATGGGGCCAAGAGAATAATTCCCCGAGCATGGCCCTGTGCATGCTGCATGACTGGCATGAGTTCTTGGCCAGCACGCATCTTTGTGATGAAAATGTACCAGGAAGCCACAAAGCCTCCCTCTGTGAGTGAGGCAGGGTCAGGCCATGGCTCACCCAGGAATAAGGCCATTGTCACTCATTCTTCATGTGAACTCCTGGTCACAATGGACAGGTCATTCATGCCCGTTCTCCCCTGAGGACAATGGTAGGAAGATGGACCCAAAATTTTAGGAAAACTTCCTGGTGAAAATGGCCTCCCTGGTGGTGCAAGGGGTTAATCACCACACTATGAAGCGATCCGCAGCCTCTGCAGCACGAGTTTGATCCCCAGCCAGCCAGGGAGCAACGCACATGGTGCAGCAGACCTCTGCTGTCCCCCCCCACTGCTCCCCTCAGCAGTGAATTTCAGTCAGTCTGTCTGTTCTGCTCCCCACTCTGGCTCTGGTGTTTCCTCTCATCCCCTGCATCTCTGGCCTGTACCCCAGCTCTTGTATGCATAAATAAATCTTTAAAAAAAAAAAAAAAACCTTCCGGGTGAAAGTCCCAAAGCTCTAAACCATTACAGAGCATTTGGGTTAAGTCTGGTGAGAAGATAAGAACCCAGATTGCTACACCCACCCTACAAAACTGCTTTTGTCTGGAGGACATTTGCTTCACTGAGAGAGACAGGTGATGGAGCAGGAGCTCTGCTTTGCTAGGGGGTAGGGAGGAAGGGCAGGGCCCAGACCTAGTACAGGAATCTGCACACGCACACCCGGCGCAGGCTGCACCACCACACGACTAGCGATCTGTTTTCTTTAAGCTAAAACCCTTGCTTTGAACTGAGATTCCTGCCCTGATGACCCCCGACTGAGCGTCAGATACTGACACAGCACCAGAAACCTGCCTCTTCTGGGAAGAAGAGGCTGCCCTCTTAGGGCTGGAGGGGAAAAAGAGCAAAGTCATAGATGGGAGCTCTGAAAACCCAAGCCCTGCACGAGAGCAGGGTTACACCCTCTGGCTGGGACGCAGAGGCAGGAAATGAACCCTATGTAAACCAGCACTCACATGTACCCATCGGTGCGGTCCAACGGTGGACCAACGTGGGGCTCCCCCAGAGCCAGTGATTTGGGGGCACAAGGGCAGGAAAGTTAAAAACATTAATGAAACAAACCAAAAGTCATTTTCTATTTTATTACCACCGAGCTGTAATTCGAAATCCTATCAGTGATAAAATCTCTTTCCCTAAAAAAATCTCTTGTTGATCTAAGTTCTAAATAAACACTATGGTGACTGTTGGCCTTTGATGCATGTTAACTTCCAATTAGCACATTTTCATTACAAACCCTTTAATAAGTGTCATTCTATGTGACAGTTAATTCAGAAAGCTCCCAGCTATCTGGGCAGACTTTGATACATGCAGACTTAGCTACACATGTGGATTTTTTTTTAATGAAAAGATCATTTTTTGAAAGCAGTTTTATGTTTACAGAAAATGGAGCCACATCATTTCCCCTATTATTAACATCTCTCACGAGTTTGTCCTAGTGCATGACCCATTACTAAAGCCCATGGCTTCTATTAGGACCCACACTTTGCATTGTCCATTCAAAAGATTTTGACAGAAGTACACTATTACCTCAATTACAGTAGCCAGTATCATCTGGACTCATTGCCCTAACAAGGATTATCCTCATGCTTCACCCAGGCATCCCTTTCCACAATCCTGGCAACCACTGATTTTTTACTGTCCTCTTAGTTTTGCCTTTTCCAGAATGTCATGGAATTGGAATCACATAGAAATACTTTTGTCCCCCTGCAATATACATTTAAGTTTCTTCCAGGTCTTTCTGTGCCTTGAGAGCTCATTTATTTTTCTTGCTGAATAATATTCCATCACCTGGATGTACCACAGTTTATGCATTCATCTGCTGGAGGACATCTTGCCTGTCCCCATCCATGTGTTTCTAGGATACATTCCTAATTATTGAGAATCATGCAATTTGTGCCCTCAAACCCTTCAGTACTACACATTTCTGCATTTGATGATTAAATTCAAAATTAAAAAAAAAAAACTACCAAGCGTGTGGGGGGCGGGGAGAAACAGACTTCCATCAGTTCCATCATTCACTGGGACAACTTGGAGGTTGATTTTGTGTTTTAAATCAACTGTGGGTCAGCGTGTATTGAAGGACACTTTTGTTTAATAAACCCAATTTGTGCTTATAAGTGGAATATTTTACTAAATTTGAACAGTATCTTTAAAATGGAAATTTCTTCTGTGTTTACTTGTTTCAAAACTAAAGAACAAGTTCAGACAATATGTATTACTGATTATTACATGATTACTAATCAAAATATTTTTGTCAGGTGGCTAATTCTAAGATGGTCTCTGAGACACCTGCCCCCTGGTGTACGTGGCCTGAATAACCCCCTCACCTGAGTGTGGGAGGGACCAGTGAATGGAATTTTAGAATCAGTTGACCCGGTTCATCAAAGGGAGGTTATCCTAGATGGGCCTGACCTGCTCAGGTGAGCCCTTTCAAAGAAGGGGACACAGCAGAGCTATCTCTCCTGCAAGTCGGAATATGCAACCTCCACGAGTCCCATAGTTGTAAGGAAAGGAATTCTGTCAAAAATCACATTTGAAAGAGGACCCCCAAGCCTGGGTGGCCCCATTGCAAATGACACCACAATTGCAGCTTTGTGAAAGCAGGAGAATGGCCCGTGCTGGACTACACAGAAATTGTGAGAAAATAAATGTGTTGTTTAAAGCCACTAGGTTTGTGGGAATTTGCTACAGCAGCAGGGAAAATGAAACCATGTGCCTATGTCCTCAGAGTTGGCAAAAGACAGAGCTGGGAGGAACGCATTCCAGTCCTCACCCCAGGTAAGAATCCTTATCACTGCTTTGCAGGTGCTATGAACAGAGACATTAGGTGTCTGCCAATGCCACACAGCTGGTATGAGACCAAGCCAGGGTGGGGAAAAGCTTGTCTGGCTTAGGCTGCAGTGGGTCTGCAGTGGGTCTGCTCCATGAGCCTGCGGTGGCTGGTGGGTTGAACACCCCCCTGCTGTGGTACCAGGTCCTGTAGGGACTTGTGACCCCCCGTGGAGAAGGCAGTTCTCACTCTCAGACACCCAGACAGGCTCCACCTCAACCCCACCTGGTCATCTAGGTGAGCAAGTGGAGAAGCATGTCCCGGTCCCTGGCCAGCTCAGCTCTCTGATTTTTTCCTTTACGTCACCTTGGCCATTATTTCATTTGCACATCTTGCCTTGCCCTGGCTTCCCACTCGATGTGGTCCTGATGGGCTCCCAGTGCCTGCCAGCATGCTGGGCACGCAGTCATGCTCAATGACATCTGCTGAGTGGATTATGGAGTGGAAAGTGATGACTTCCTCCTCTGGGAGCTGTAGCTGAGATCTGAAATATCAGGCCCAGGAAACTCCATCCTATCTCTTCCTTTCCCATGGCCCCATCTCCAGGCTCTAGGGCTCCCTTCAGGGACTACACGCCCACCCTTGCTAGCTCTGTGCCAAATCACCCCACTCCACCAAGGACTTCCAGAACAGGAGCACCCTCCGCCAGGTAACCTGGAGTCTCCCAGGTTCCCCGACACAGCACCTGCTCCCTCTGCTGGCGGAAGTGGGCAAGTGCATGGAGATCTCCTCCGTGCAAGACAGAAACTCAGGAGGCAGGAGGGAGGGTCTACAGGAGCGCCGCTACAGGGTCACTGGCTGGTCCTGGTGCAGGAAGGGCCCTACTGACCTGAGGCTTGTGGGTCGAGCACACCTGACCAAGCCCTACCCGCAGAGCTGGCAAGGCAGCAACATGCCTCGGATGCTCCATCTTGCTGAGCAAAGCCTGAATGGGGTACCCCAGACCAGGAAGGAGGGACATTGCTCTCACCAGGGCAGCACATTAATCAAAAAGAAGGCAGCCCTCTAGCAGCCTGGCCCTGAGAGCTACCTGGTCCCACCCCATGAGAGCAGCTGGCACTGCACACCTCCCACCTGCCCACCTCACCTAGCCTCACAGCAGTGCAGGTGGACACTGTCACTTCTACTGCAGCCATGAGGAAACTGAGGCACAAGTAGTGGAGTCAGAATTTGAACTCAGGTCAGTGTGGCTCTTAGTCTCTGCTCTTTACCCACCTGTGCACAATGTGCCTCCTGTGTTACTTCTAATCCTGCATCCGAGAAGGCTTGGTTAACCTGTGGCTCCAACGCCCAGACTGGCGTGGATGTGGCTGAGCTGGGGGATGAC